GATGTACAAAGTCACTTTCCCCAAAGAATACAAAGCTTTTCCTTCAAAGCGCCTGTTAGGGATTGGCATGAATAAAAGATTGTTGTCTTCAGCCTATGAAAAACAAACGACAACGAAAAGTTAGTTTTCTTGTGGAAAGTAAGAAAAAGAAAATTTAAAAAAAAATTAAAAACAACAACAACAACAAATGGACGAGCAAAGGCCACAATCGCAGTTCACGATTTTTAAAAACGCATGCTTTGACCAATGGTTCGTCCTCCGCGTAGAAGGTCTGTCTAGGGTCCATCCAATCTTCTGTTTGTTTTTGTTTTTTGTTTTTTGCAATTAATGTCGAGGTCTCTAAGCCACAGAATAATTAAGGCTGTGCTGCCGTCGGAACAACAAGATTTTTGGAATTGTCAAAATGGTTACAACGTTAACAGACAAGAGTAATCTTGCTGTTTTCCATTTCAGCAAAAATATAATTTCAGTACCACCTACAAATATTACATAAGGAAATCCAAAATGCAGGCAGTTCTTTTAAAAATTGTTTACAAATTAACAACAGGATGTCTGTGTGTCGGACACTTACCAACGTCTGTATCAGGTCTTTAAAATTTGAGGGAACGTTCTGAGAGGCCACATTTCGAGCTGCCTCGGCCTGGAGGGAAAATTTAAGAACAAGAACTAGTAAAGCTCTGATGAAGGTACATGCAATTTAACGTAACCATTTTAACTGCATACAAGTCATTAAAATCAGACACGAGGCTAGAGAGCAGTGGGGAAGGACTGAGTAAGGAACAGAAGAACCATACCAACTACAGTTGTAGTCCACTTTGTTAGAAATAACGTACAAAGTATTAAATAGAAAGAAAAAGAAATTGTCAGAAAAAGTAACACAAACTAATTATGATGAAAGACTACGCTATGATTTTATGCCCAGGTAACATGTGGGCGATCAGGAACATGTAAGGCCTGAACATGTAAGTTAAAGTTAAACTGGTAAACTGAATAAAACTCCAAGCTGGTACCTTTTGTTTTTCAGCTGCTGCGGCTATGGCCGCTGCTTCTGCTTCTCTTCTGAAATGAAAAATAATCAACAATATAGTGATATATACAGTGAGTCACAAGTCCAACAACATGCGAGTTCTACGAGGTCATTACAGGACTAACGCTTTGTTTACGAAAGAGAATAGGCGCCGCCACAGGTGCACAGTGAATTGCTTACCAAAATTCTGCGTCCAAAGAACGTAGCCATTATCACTTATTATCACTTTGTCACAGGACTATCAAAAATGAGTCAGTCAAAGTAGAAAGCTTTGTAGGTTCTGGAAACTTCTGAATTACTACATAGCGAGAATTCATAGGAATGATCTATAAAAATACTCAATACAGTCGAACCACGTTAACACGCAACACTGAGGGGGCCATGGAAAGTCTCCGTATTAACGGGGTGTCCCGGTATCAAGCGGGTTGAATTTAAGGAAAAGGGGGCTTTCTTTCACCAGGGACAAAGCAAAATGAAGTGTCTGTTTCAAGCGGGTGTCCCTAAAGCGGTGTTTGACTGTAGCTTTTTAAGCGTTTTTTTTTTTAACTATTACACTTTTACACTTCATGGATGGGACATTTGCCCCCCGAGTTGACACCGGTTTTCTTCTAATCGAAATACTCATCATTCAGAAGTTATTCAAGGCGTTTTTTATTAGAATTAAGTTCAAGAAAACTGACGTTACACTTTTTCTTGGTTGCGCTCTCATGAATAAGGGAGTTAAAATAGAGAGCCGTCACCTCTCTTCACAAATTGATCCTTTCAATGTTTTGACTTAGGCTTAAATCATTATATATCATAAAGAAGAAACCCAACACATCCGGTCCAATGAACAATTCGTGAATCCTTTGTATTTTGGGATTTTTTTAGGGGTGCATCGGAGTGGTGTAAAATTAAAACCAACGCATTCACGCGCGTCATCGAAAGAAGAGATAATTTAATAAACTAATCATATCTAACAGCTATACTAACAAGGCCAAGCGCGATAAAGTGCGTTCCCACAGAAAATTCTTATCAAATTCCGTCGATCAATTATATTTTATGACAAAGAAAAAGANTTTTTTTTAACTATTACACTTTTACACTTCATGGATGGGACATTTGCCCCCCGAGTTGACACCGGTTTTCTTCTAATCGAAATACTCATCATTCAGAAGTTATTCAAGGCGTTTTTTATTAGAATTAAGTTCAAGAAAACTGACGTTACACTTTTTCTTGGTTGCGCTCTCATGAATAAGGGAGTTAAAATAGAGAGCCGTCACCTCTCTTCACAAATTGATCCTTTCAATGTTTTGACTTAGGCTTAAATCATTATATATCATAAAGAAGAAACCCAACACATCCGGTCCAATGAACAATTCGTGAATCCTTTGTATTTTGGGATTTTTTTAGGGGTGCATCGGAGTGGTGTAAAATTAAAACCAACGCATTCACGCGCGTCATCGAAAGAAGAGATAATTTAATAAACTAATCATATCTAACAGCTATACTAACAAGGCCAAGCGCGATAAAGTGCGTTCCCACAGAAAATTCTTATCAAATTCCGTCGATCAATTATATTTTATGACAAAGAAAAAGAGTGCCAGTTTTGCAAAGCGAGGAAATGTGGATCAAAAGCAAATACAGATACACAATGTTTCGCTAATAACTAAAGTTGAAACTCATCCACTCACCTTCTCTCAGTGCTGGTAAGATAAGCAATATTCTCCTTGGCTCCTGGCTGAAGAATACCACCTGGTGACGTCACAGCCTGGTTCATGACGTCAAGCGCTCGGTTGAAGTGCACTGGAAATCAAAAGGACTAATGTTTTCAACTAAATCGCTCATGGAACGAAAAATAAAGATTATAGTCCACTCAAAACTAAGGGCGCTTTCCATTTGTCAGAACTGACTGGCCAGACAATTCCTGTCGCATTGAGAATCTTACTTTTAATCAAAACTATCAGTCCAGTCAGATCAATTAAATTTTAAGTGGTATGCACAAAGGAGATGGGCGTCCATAAAAAACACTCTTGGAAAAATCCTATTTCATTGTCAAAATGACTGGTCCGGCAATGGTCCGGCCGACCAGTTCTGACTTTTGGAAAGCACCCTAAAACTTAAGGTGTGATAATGCACACATAAGATGTTCGAACAAAGACCAACCTTTGACGCTTGGATTATTGAGTAGGTCTTCACTAAACATGCCCTTCCAGCCAGAATACCTTGAACACAAAATAAGAGAACACAAAGTTAAGACTTAGAAGCGACAATCATTGTCATTTTGTGTGCTGAGGCATGCACCAAGAAATCGTTCACGCGAAGGAGAGCATGCGCAGAGGTCGTGGGCGCGACGACGCAGACCTTATTCCCTGGATCCTTCAACAGTTTTTCGTCTTTACGTCGGATGAAAAAGAAAAACTTGAGAACGAAATTAAGGGAAAGGATTTGACAGAAATAGACTTAACTCAAACTACAAGAAAGTAAAAATTCAAGAAGTGAGCCTTGAGGTGCGTTCGATTGATCATATTCCGGAATAAGAATATGCAAAAGTTTTGTTGCAAAGCTCTTGTACCGTGATTTTTGAGCCATTTAAATGCTGTGAAAAAAATTGGGATATTTTAATTAAAGCAGATTTCTAGCTATTACAAAGCCAATCAACGTCAAAATGAGTGATTTTTTAGTTTATTTTTATTCCCGGAAAACGGTCAATCAACCAAGGCCATAGCCACGTGTCTACGATTGTCAATTCTTGATCTCAATTTCTAAGATGTAAAACTGATGGAAGAAATTCATTTACCATTGGATAACTTCATCATAATTAGGACTGACACTCAGCCAACCTCGCAGAACCTGACAAAATAAAAAAATAAGATTAGTAAGGCATTTTCCTTCACCATTCACCAACTTCAGCATCATAATCAAAAAACAAACCTGAATCCATCGCGAAAAGAAGTGTTTCTCCAACAAACTGACGAAATGTTGCTGTGTTATAATATCTTTCCACTCCATGACCCAGTGAAAAGGTTCTGCAAAACAAGCGAGCACAACACGGATCAATCTACGATTTCTCCTTATGATATAAAAATGATATTAACCCTTTAAGCCCCAATATCCAAATACAAATTCTCCAAACTGATCTCCATACATTTCCTTTAAGAATTAGTTGAGAGAATTTGATAAAAGATCAAAGCATTTTCCCTAAGGTGATCATTTTATTAATTCTCATAACTTTGTCTCTTGACAGTGTATGGATATTGTTAGGAGAAAATTGTTGTTGGTCACTATTGGGACTCAAAGGGTTAAACCGGCTACACGTGCTGAGAATCATGATTACCATAGCTGGGCCACGAAATTCATCATAGTTCTAAGAGAGGAAACTGCCACCAAACTGAGTGAAACATTAAATAACGGCTCAAAAAAATTAGAAGAAGGTATAAACGACACGGCAAATATAAAGGAGGCACTGATGGACAAACTTGAAGAAGATTGAAACGGATTGAATCTGTGGTTTTTTTTAGCCCAACAGTTTTTCAAAGTTCATTATTGTTGTTGTAACGATTGATATGATGCTTTGGAGACATTCTTTGTTTGACACAAAAGATGTGATTTTGTCATTCACAGGTAATTTATCAAGTTTTATAGAGAACAAGGACTCGTAAATGGCATTAGAAAACAAAATAAACTGGGCAACCGTGACAGAGCCGCTTTATAAGTACACCATACCGCACTGGTGAACGACAAGTGAAACTCAGCAAGGAGAATTGATATTTTGTGGTTTCATACCTAAGTGTTGTTGATGAGGATTGATGATGAACTCAGCAAGGCACTGGGACAGTTTAGGATAAATTGAGCGAAGAATGAATGCGTCCATGGTTCCTTTGGAGAAAACCTGTTCACAAAAGTGCAGTGATAAAACTATGGAAAAGAGCTTTCATGAAATAACACAGGCGAACAACTGTTTACTGAGATTTTGCATAATAGTTCGAAACTACATCCTAGCAACATACCGCGCACGCTCAACAAAGAACGTGCTTGACTCATACAGAGACCTTCGCGAGTACGCCAAAATCGCTGCCTCAACCATAGGCTTTCCCAAAGCTTGTGGGATTCACGAAACAAGCTAGCGGCGCGGGAGCGGGAGACAAAGGAGAGCGGGGTAATGGGAACACCCCGCTTTCCTTAATAATTAGGTGGTCTTAACAACCACGTTTTTAAGCGATACACGTCAACCGGAAGTGGAGGGTTTGCAATCTTGGGGCGTGCTTTTGAGCAAATTTTAGGGCAAATTGTCTCTATGAGAGAAAACACACTTAGAAGTACAAATTTGGTAGCGTCACGTCATATGGAAAGCGAAAATGACTCACTTCCGGTTAACGTGCATCCCTCAAAAACGTCTTTGCTGAAACTCCCTTCCCCCCACCACCCCCCCCCCCCAAAAAAAAAAGCGCCCACTGGCAGTGACTTAATATATAGATTTATCCAGGGCTAAAAGCGAAGCTCCAATCAATAAGTTTATAATTCAAATCAAACAATAAACTTTTAATCCACAAATCGGTTAACTTAAGGGCACATTCATGTGACTTGTGAGGCCATGTAAGTTTTGAAGCNCCCCAAAAAAAAGCGATCACGAGCCACTGGGGACGAGGCAGCTATAATCGAGCAAGCGAAAGAAAGGCTCCGTGACGGGATGAGACTTAAAAACGCGAAAAGTACCTTGGTCCACGGTTCTAGGATCATCTTTGCTGAGGGATCAGAGGGGTGCCAGTTAGTGAGTGCAGAGGCTAGCTTGAATCTGATTGGTTGGTACAGGGGCTCAAGATGTTCACCTAAAAATGGAGAAGAATTTTCATTACGCTCAAATAAGGGTCCAGAGAAAGACCGGTACATAGCAGAACTTAAAAACTTCAACCGTTTTATTTATCGATTGATTTCCCCAAAAAAATTACTAAACTAATGAACCGCACAAGGGAAACACTACAACAGCTTTTGTGAGTTGCTTTCGATTCCTTGATGTCCACTAAGATCGCGTTCTACTCATATATCCATACGCACGCCTATACTAGGCCCAAGTTTCACTGCATTGAAAAGTAACCTATCGCGGACACTCTTTACAACCGTAAATTATTCATTACCCGTCTGGGTAAACTATTGTTAGAAGTTTACTTTGTCCCCTGTAAAGTTCTTTCACTTGTGGTAAGTTTCAAAATTTTCCGCGCATGCGCAACGCAAAAGGACTTACTACAGCTACTTTCTTGAGGGATCACTGCACTCTACACAATTCATAATAATAACCTCACCTATTAGAGGAAGCCATGGATGAATCCAAGCATGTACTGGGACAGTGTCTGTTAATGGATCCCACAAATCTACTTCCGCCTGAACACAACACAACATAAAAAACAAACAAGGGTTTTGCAACCATGGCAGACTTTTCCCTTGCGTTCGTAATAACGCGTTGTTTAGCTAAATCCAATAATTGCTTTATTATTCAAGACATTCGAACTTTTTCCCAGCTAAAATGTCAACCTCGTTCCCAGGGTCTTCTCTTGGCCTGTCGCCGCCATATTAGAAAACCAAAAGACCCTGGAAACTAGGTTGCTAATTCTTACCGCTTTAAAAAGTTTTCGTCCTCAAAACATTTGCCTGTTCTTCGGTCGTTCCAGAATATGAAGGGATGTTTATTCCAGCAAATATTCTTCATAAATAGCAGATTTTATCCTTCGAGCTAGTGGTAATTTTGTTTATTTTCGAAGATTTTAGGGCAATAGGTCAGTTACTTCGTTAGCGTGCAAAGCAGGCGTATTTTGACGTGCAAGCGATGATTCTATTCTTAAGACTAATGCAATCCCGCCATCTTGGAAGTTGAAACTGACAGAGAGTTGGAGCGAGTCCCAAAACTGATTCCAAGGGAGAGGAACACGGGCTTAAAAAAATGGCAGCCGAGATCAACGTAACGAGCTTTCATTTCAAAAAGCCAGCTCTAAAGGCTTCTATTTCGTCTCACATAACATATGAAATCTTTCGACATTTCCCCCAGCTCCACACTACCACAACAGCTGAGCCATCACGCTGTGTCCCTTTCTCTGTTGATATCAATACAATTGACGTCCATCGCATTGATATCGTATTAAGGATATCAGAATAAACTCAACGAGGACAAAAGGTTTTATACTTGCCTCTGTGGCCCCCTAACTCCATCGCTCAGTGGGGTTTGTGGTTATAAGAAGCAATTGACCTCTCCCAGAAAATACCATAACATACCATAATGCTCTTTGTTTGTAACCCCCAACTTTTGCATAAGCATTGTTTTCAGTTTCTCTAGGGGCCATTTTAACTCCCAAGAGAAACTGAAGACAATGCTTATATGTTACGGTATTTTCTGGAGTGGTCAATTGAATTCTTCTTTTTCCTCATTTGTTTAACGGTGCTATGCGACACATCACTTTATATGTACCCTTCACAATCTTCCAAATTAAACTTTATACCCTTGACATATTGGGCATCAATAGACCGTATTCACGATATCCGCCATCTTTGCACGCGCTTAAGGACTGATGGGATAAAAGCAATGTCACGTGGTTTCCCAGAAGGCAAACAAGTGATAATGTTTCCAATACAAGAAATCGCGGTCGCAGTACGTACGGACGGTTTTCTACGACCAAAATTTCGTGGAAGCACAGAAAACCAAATTTTCTTGCCCAAGGTGCGCCGCCGCGCGCGAGAACTCCACTAATATCAGTCTCTATCTGACCTGTAGTCGCGGTATAATCAGCTGATCTCTGATGTTGTCCGTGATCCACTGAGGGAAGACTGGGGTCCACACATTTAAAAGGCTAACCATTGGGTCATAATCTCGACAATTCCATGAACTAAATACAACATATAATATGCATTACAATATGAAATATGCAGACGAAAACTGCTAAATCGCGATTAATCAGGTCTAATCAGGTTAATAACCAGCGTTTAATACCATCAACTGACGTGATACAACTCACTTTGACTCTGAAAATGACTACCGCACAGGTTGTCGAAAAGTCAGTCACTGTCAACAACAGTCCTATTCAGGACTACGTTCACCCGGACGATCACGCTCAGCTTACTTATGATATGCTATGACTAAATAACCGCTAACTGTTCTCTCTGCATAATTATCCCATGTGGGAGATTTGCACAGTATTAGCCTTAGATTTAGATACCTTTCTCTTAGTTTCATAAGCAGTGAAATGTAGATATTTATGCTGGCCTTCAACAGACAACTGAATATCAAAAGTATGGTAACTAATGTAGATACATAACATACCATATAGCAGAGCGAAGGAATGGCATCCACACTTCCCACACGAGTCGGTCATACATCTTCATCCTTAAAAACAAGAAATACAACTTCAAATTCGTCAAAATCTTCAAGAAAAGTGTCCAAATAGTACATGACCTTATGTTAATGAGATTCCCCCGCATTTTATTCAAGAGAAAAAGGTTATGACATCATCAGTGCTAATGTATTCCACTTCATCTACAGTGGAGCCTCGATACAACGAAGGGCCAAGGGAATGGCAAAATTTTTTCGCTATACCGAAGTTTCGTTATATCAAGGTTCTTTCCACATGTTTAACAACTACTGGGGTTAAGAAAATCGTTTGCTTTACCGAGGATTTCGTTATGTAGAGGTTCGTTATATCAAGGTTCCCCTGTATTAAAGTTCCACTTCAAAAAAGGGATAGAGCACAGCCTTAATTGGTCTCTATTCTTGTAGCAAAAGGTTTTTTTTGGATGCTCATAGAACAGGTTACTGAGTACATACTTCTCTTCACCATGACTCAGTCCTTGTGCTAGCGTCAGAGTGAAAGCGGAGTTTTCTGCTTCTTTCTTTTCCAGTATTTCTCGCCATCGAATCATGACTTCAAAACCATGAGATGGATCAGCAAGAGGTTGCCACCCTTCGAAATGTTTCCTCAGCTGCAGGTCAAATCAAACCAAGTCAGTCAGTCAACCAGTTAATTACCTAAATGGGGCTTAAAGTTATTAGTCATCCCGATTTAATGATATCAATGAATTCAGGAATACAAGATTTCAGCTGTACGCACGAACGTATGTGCGTATATGGACGCTACTCTCCTGATAAATAAATAAACACAGCTTGGTGGACTGCAATAACGCCTTGTGTGGAATATCAAATAGATTGTTAGCGATCNAGTCATCCCGATTTAATGATATCAATGAATTCAGGAATACAAGATTTCAGCTGTACGCACGAACGTATGTGCGTATATGGACGCTACTCTCCTGATAAATAAATAAACACAGCTTGGTGGACTGCAATAACTCCTTGTGTGGAATATCAAATAGATTGTTAGCGATCCCTCAGGCAGGAACTGATGCGCCTTGACTTGACTGAATGGAAAGGGTACCGCTCAATGACTTAACATCAAAACAAACCAATGGTACCATGTGAAACCATTAAAGTAAAAAAGCACCTGTCCATGTATTTAGCACCAAAGTACTATTTTTCACGTGAGCCAGGTAAAAGTCTTGCCTTCATTTCTCCGTTTTATCAAGATCCCTGAATATTGATCCCATCCCAGTAATCGAACCCGCGACCTCCCTCTCAGCAGTCAAGCGCTCTAACAACTCAGCATGTCCTACCGCGGTTAAATGTCTTCATACTACAGGCTGAGAGCATGAAATGGTTGATCAGTGAATCTACTATTATAAGTAATTCTTCTACTACCATCATCTAGCAAAATCTTCAGTTTTATTGGCTGACATTCATGTATCAGGTCATGGGAGTAACAAGTTGTGTGACAAATTTTGTTTCTAGCCAAAAAATACTTGACGTGAATAGGAATCGCCAGTTCATCTAATGTTACATAAAAGGTGTAAATAATCTCAGATTTGCGTCTTACCAAAGAGAAAACAAGCGGTTCAGCAAGGGATGCCAAGTCGTACATCTGTTAAAATAAGACATAATAAGTTATGCTGAACAAAAAAAACAAGGCGAATCCTGAGCATTGTGTAAGGCTATCAGAATACTAATGTTTGGTATACCAAAGCAAAAAGATAGTATTACCTTAAATTCCTCATAATAATCTTCTTGCAAAGTATTAAAAATTTCTTCACACTTGTCAAGTGTGAGAGTATCATCATCTGGTGACAATGACTGTTGTCGACACCTGTCAGATAGTCAGATAACAAAGGTTACAACGAACAAAGGGTTAATTAAACATCTACATACTCTAATCTAAACTATCTCATTGATGGCTTGGAAACTGGTGCCTATCAATGTGATAAAGCCTTGGTTACTAGCTAGGTATAAAGGGCCTTCGAAGCCGATGACCATGGCACCCAATCCCCCTCGCCTCCCCCCTCAATCACCCAGTACCATCACACCGGCATGATTATAACTTCCAACACATGCACGACATAATAATAAATTTACTATGGATTTTAATAGGCACCAGGGCTACATTGTACATGAAGGATTCACAAAGATCTGTAATGCAAGCATTGATCATTGATCTTCCAAAATCAGCACTGTGTGAGGGAAGGGCTGAAGTAAGAAACTAAGGTTCTGTCCACACAATCCAAATATTTTTGAAATGGAGATTTTCTTCTCTGTTTTCAAAAGAATACATGTCCACATGTAGCGTATTTGCATTAGAGAGGTTAAGCATCACTTTTACGTCAAACGCGAATTTGTACCACGTGACCAAGGTTCCTCTTTACTTGTCGTTTACTGTTCATTATTTCTACACCTAAATTAGTAGTTTCACGCATTTTTTTATCCATAAGAATTGTTTTGAGCTGTTTTTATCTGCTCATTTTCTATTTTGAGAAATTCTGAACTTGAATCTGACGTCTGCCTTTTGCCGTGTAAGTGAAGCTTAAACTCTTTCTTGTTTTGGCCTGTACATAAGAAAACACTTGGAACAGAGCAAAAGAGCATGCGTTATGCCAGTAGTAATGATGTATGACATCATCGTATTCAAAACCTCTGTTTTCATCCTTTCACACGTAAACGAGAAGCTGGCATTTTCAAAAATCTCCACTATGGGGACCGTTCTTGAAAAACCCGCATCTTTGGTGCCTTTTTTTGTCTGAATGGAAGACTGAAATGCAGAAAGAATCTCTGTTTTCAAAATATCAGGATATGTGTGGACAGGGCCTAACAGATATCAAAAGTAGATGACACCCACGCACAAAACGAGGAGAAGCAAAGGCATGAAACTAGGGCTTAACAGATAAGTCTGATTTACCTATCTATCATATTGATAACATCCATTAATCTTTTGATGTCCTTTTCTTCCCGCTCCAACACTGCTGTAAGCTTCTCCTCCTCATGTTTAAGATTCACGACGAGATCTCGCTCATACTTTAGTCTGTAAAACAATCAGGAACTCATCTTGACTGTCCACAGTCATCTATTTTAATTTTCTCATGATCTTCAAGATCATGTGCTTTGCGTTTAAGGTGGCTATCTTGGTTTCAAATGTACAGAGGGGGGAGCAGGCGGGGACAGGCGTTTGTACCATCCCCCACTACCTAAGTAGATTTAACACTCAGCCCCAAGCTGGACTCGGATCATTTGAAGCCAAGATGGCCACCCGTAAGGGTACTTAGTTGCTCAATCCTGACGATCTTATGGAAAAATAGGGGATTGTGAATGGTCTAGATGTCATCCCACTGATATATGGATAATGTACATACGCTTACATTACGGCTATAGAACAATACTAACTGAACAATAACTTACTGTCTGTCTGCTTGAATAATGTCAGTCTCTGCCATATCAATCAGCAGATTCAAGTTGTAGGTTAGTTCAGGCATGGAAAATGCTGCCTCTGTATCTCGAACTGAAACCAATAATAGCCACATCGTTACCAGAATACAAAAAGAGGCAATAATTTATTGAGAGACACCAGGGGATTTTTTCACCCACCTTTCAGTTACAATAGGAAAGAAAGAAAAGTGAAAATCAGATATTTGTATTTTTAATGTATTAACCTATTCACAATGGAACCTCTTATGCAAATCCAGGCTCATTCTTTGTACTACTTGTGACCTGATAGGTTTTAATGGTCAATGACAGCCTTGACTTTTAACTTGTGCAGGGAAAAGATCTTTTTAACCAAACATACAAATGAACACCACTCAGTCAAACAGGCCAGAGAAAAATGCTAAAAATTCCAATGAAATCAACACGCTGTGTTTTAGCAGCGCCCGGTAGCCCTGGCACCTAATTTTTGCTCACGGATGACTAGAAAACTAGTTTTTTTTATATAGAAATCATATGTTGGGCACCCTGGATTTCACACGTTCAGAGCACTAGGTGCCCTACAATACAATGTATTTCTTAAGAGCACAGCCTTAGAAATTCTGCCTCCTGCACAAGCTCAAACTTCAAAAGCTACAATTCAGCATCAGGAAGTTACATGAGGCAATGAAGTGCTCAACTACAGGTAGCAAACGTTTTGGAGCTGTTTTGGTTCTTTTTGGCTAGAGAGTGACCAGAAAACAGCTTAACAAGCTTTCATCAGCATTATTCAGCTAAAAAAGAGCACAACTCAGTCAAAATTACAACTCATCTTAGGTCAACCACAAAATTCCATTGAAACTGCAAAAACTTCAGAAGCTGCAATTTAGCATCAGAGACAAGATGCAGTGTAGTGCTCAACCTGTACACGTTTGGGCTGTTTTGGTTCTTTTCAGCCAGATACTGACCAGAAAACAACTCAACAAGCCTCAAACAGAGTTTTTTTGGCAATATTTTCCAAGGCGAGTAGATTAATAATTATTTACTCTATAAAGTGTAGGAGTCATCATGCACCTAATGTCGTCGGAGGAACTTCTCCAGGTTTGGCATGTTGTTGAGCAAGGGAGCCATAACCAGTCAGGATTTTAGTCTCAGGTCCTGTCATGTCCACCACCTAAAACAAAACATCACAGAAAACATGCTTGAGTCGTACAAAAAAATGCAATAGTAAAATCGCCTCAAAATAATTAAAAACAATAACCTTTATCTTGCTGTGTTTCAGAGATATGGATGGTCCCTTTTTGCTTCCTCCCGAAGCCTGAAAGCAAATAAACAAAACTTTAGTTATTAAAGGCCACACAAACAGCACTCTCTTACAAGCACAGTTATATAAAGTAAAAGAGGACATAAAATAATCCATGTATTTCAATAGCCTGATGAATTTTGTATCATTTTGCCCTTAATTCAGAAATACACAAAGTTATTATTTTTTTAAATATTAATTACAGTATATTGAAAAGTTTTCATTCATACTTTTTGACTATTTTGGAGAAATAAAATTATTTGTTACGACAGTTTTTAACACGTGTATCATGCCATGACTGGAGGGTTTAATTATACAGTATGTCACATGTCAATAATTAATTTGCAGTTTACGTCTTATAGATGTTACAGGTCAAAATTAAATCCAGATTAAAATTTTTTAACCTAAGTTGATCCGCAGTTTCTTTTGTCTCCTAACCCTCGCCTGCAAACAAGCTCTCCATTTGGGGGATATCATGAAACGTAAACGCGCAAGAGGCACGCAAGACGAGACGTGAAAGCGTTCTCGCGCGGCTCGCTTCACTCATCCAAACGAGAGAGCTTGCTCGCAGGCTACCTAGCCCTAATTCTAATATTAGGGCTAGCAAACAGAGAATCAACCTAGGATAAAAAACTTAACCTGAATTTAATTTTAACTTGTAACATAGACACATTTGTGGGGCACCGTATTATTGTGGGCAAACATCGTTTAGTAGTTTTCGTCCTACGTTTTGATTATCCCAATCAAAGTGAATGGTTCAAATGCAAGAGTACCAAGATAACAAAGAGTTAATTTCAAAGAACTTCAATTAGCAAACAAGACCAAGATACAAAAGAGTTGAATTTTGATTCCAAAAGAGATATCCTATATGACTCAGAATAAGATTTTTTTGGTATTTTTCTGACAGCAAAAAAACTCACATTATTTAAGGGGGGTAATGTACTTACAATAGGCACATCATTTTCTTCAATTTTTAAAGTGAGTTGGAATCATTGAATAGCATCCAGAACTTAATATACCCTGAAAACTGTACCTTGACTTCATCTGCAGTCTTGTAAACATATTTTGGCTTTGAGTAGCCCTGAGAATCAAAAATGAGGAACCATTGAGACATGAATTAGCTACAAAGAAAGTCACCTTCTTTATTTATTATAATAAGTAAATACGACTAAGTGTGGTCTTTATTCATTTTGATAACACGCTAGCAACTTATGGAACTCATTTACGGATAACATATGTGTCTGCTTCTCTTTCCGCTTTTTAAAACTGCATTAAAAACTGTTCAACTGGATAGTGAATGATGTTCTTTTTGTGAGCAATTTTAATTTCTTGGAATTATTTCTACATACGTGCATGTTTTTAATTAATTATTTTACTCACAATATTCAGTTTTTTCTCATTTGATTTTTATGTCTTTATTCATTTATACGTGTACATATATGTATTTACGTATTCTAATAATTTTGATGAATAATTTTGGAGATATTAGCAATTTTGCCATCAACTAATTTGAAGTTAAATTAAGTCTTTGATTGATTGATTGATGGATTGATTGAAGCTAATCTTTTAACTGCAAGCAGCATCTCATTTATCGTCAAAGTAAGGGGGTTGGTACAAGTGCAAAGGGTGAGTAGTGAAGCTGTGAGATGCCTGAAGCACAAGAAGATGCTGCTTCATAAAGCCAAAGCCAATGAATCATCTTTTGCCCTCACAAATTAACACACAAATATGACCGGCTGACGTTTTGAGTGCTAAAAACAAACTGTCAACAATTATAGGCCACTAATTTTTGACAAGCTTGTCTTAAGGCTGATTTTCACTTGTGACAGAGGCAGAGTTGGAGTCATAAGGGCAGCTGTAAGAGCGCTTATGACGTGGTGAAAATCAAAAATTGGAGTAAGCATGACAGAACTGGACAGAGTCAGAAGAATCAGAACGTTTCCATTTCTTCTGACTCCGTCACTTATGTTCTGCTTATGATCTAGTGAAAACCAGATTGTCAGAGTCGGAAGCAGAAGCGGAAGGATAAACCAATCACAATGCATGTTCCCACACTTTGTGATTTGTTTAGTTCTCCTGCTCATGCTTCCGACTCCACCAATCTGGGTTTCATTAGATCATAAGTGGAACGTAAGCGATGAGCCGTAAGCAGAATCAGAACACTGTTTCCACTGGATCAAAAGCTCTACGCTTCAGATTACCACTCCAACACTGACTTTGTCACTAGTGTCAAAAACCCTTTACTTCCAGAGCGAAACTTTTTAAGTCAGGACATGACCTTTCCAGTGCCTATAGATAATGTTAGTTTGCACATTAGGTGTTTTGTCTGTGTTAAAAAATATACAAGCTTCTTGCAGCAAAACTGAGTTCTTGAATTAGATATTGAGTCAACATTTCTGGTCTCTGGCTTGCTTCACTAATTTGATTGAAAATTAAATGTAACTTAACTGCCTGTAACAATCACAAAATTACATCAATATCTAGAGATTTCAAAAATTAGAAATCATCGCTCTGTGGCTGGTCTTATTGGCATACTTGCATTTTATATATTAACTATTGTTACTAGCACAAATTCACCAGATTCTTTTTAAACACGTCTGCTGCAGTTGTCCTGACTGGGTAAAATGAAAGGAAGTCAAGAGACGATTTCTTTGTCACAGTTAATTCGATTTCAATTTTACACTGAAAAACCACTTGAACATGAAAGATCATTCACTCTGGAGAAATGTGAAAACCTTAAATAATTGATTGATATTGCCAATATTAATAAGACAAAATTAACCATGAAGACATCAAGGCAGTATTACCTCATCTGTCTTTTTCCACTGCTGAAGTTGTTCCCTGAATTTCTCCTCTTCCTCCTCTTCTTCATCATAATGAGGCCACGACTGAGTGAAAATGAAAGAATATAAAAACAGTTATTATTGTAAATAAAAAAAAATTTAGTTTCTATGAAACTATTATGATAAAGCAAGATGAATACCAGAGCTGTCATGACAGGACTGGAAAACAGGCCAAAAAATAACAATTACAGTAATAATATTATGCACACAAGCCCTCCTTACCTCTTGAGCTTTCTTGGTTCTTTCTGGACCATAACTTCCCAAAGCTCCGCGCCCTTCACGCTTGAAAGCCTCTACTGGTAGCACAATACCCTGGCCTTCCTTTCCTAAACCTTTTCCTGGCTCATAACCCATCTACAAAAAAAAATGAGACTGAGTGTAAACACTTGTAGTTTCTAAGGTAAGACTACACAGTCAAGTGTCTCTTGATGGATACCTCTACAGTACTGGTGTATTATAAGAAAACAACCATACAGAGAAACCAGGGCAAGCTTCCTGTCTTTTAACAGCTGGCTGAATGAAAAAGGAACTAGACAGGTGAGATCAGCCCACACGTACATGTGTAATCTATGCCCTCCCAGTCCAACAATGGCCTAAGTCAATCACACTGGGGTGAATGTCTGCTACATCTCTTTCCAAACAAAGAATTGGGTTCTTTTCTGTCTTCTTCTTGATATATGTACAAATTACATCGCATATGAGGATGGGGGAAACAAGGTCAATGGTTTTAAACTGCCACTACCCAACAGTGCAATCAACTCACTTCAGACAAGGTTTCAATCACAACAGCATTTTATTGACAGCTTGAACTCAGCCATGCCAAAGTGAGCTCACGACCTCCGGCACAAAAGACTGGCAGCTCTTTCAACTGAGGCGGGCAGCTTTCCAAGACACTAAGACTTTTTCCCACTCATTTTTCATCATTTTTGACTCTCTATAAGATAGATGCTCTTCAAAGACAGATACTTGTTGTTGGTCACAACAGTACCTCTGTTATCATCAGACACCATCATTAACCTTCTTGTCCAACGCACATCATTCACAGATTCAGCTTTTCGTTGAACCCTGCCAGTAATCTGTGTTCATGCACATTGTGATCAAAATCAAACTTGGTGTTACTCAAAAAATATCCTATAAGTAGCAACAAGTGCCCTGTACCTGTTGAAGCATTTTCATACCAAATCCTTTGGTGTGTCTTTCCCAAGAACCTATGTCCCTGTAATAAAACAAACAAAAACAAAAAAATATATATAAGAAAGTAGACAATGCAAACTGATTAAGAGAATACTTTCCGAGAAAATTAAAAAGACCAAACAGAATCATTATACAAAACCCTACAATATGAATAATCAGAGCTAGGAGACAAAGAAAATTGAGAGTCAACCAAGGTTAAAAAAATTTAAATGTGGCTAAATATCATTTAGGCAAAGTTAAGCTCGAGCGAGTTGGCCAGCAGTCTTCTCCCACTTCAGTATGTGACCTACGGGGCGGCCCGCGGGGAATTGCATGGCTCCTTGTGTGCCCTGTTGCTAGTGTTGCTTTGCATTGTATCTTTGCTTGCTGATTGTAGCGGATCATTTCTTAGCCTTCTTGCAAATCAGTGCGGATTCTTGCTGATAGTCGCGGATCAATGTTTGCCTTCTTGCGAATCATTGCGGATTCTTGCTCCCTCTCCTCCCTCCCTGCCTGGTGGTTTGGTAAGTATTTTCTCAGGTAAGTGTTCTCTTAGGTAAGTATCTCCACTGAATTTATTCAGTGTGACGGTGCCGGTTAGTGGCTGCTCCTGGGGTGGTTCCCGCTTCCAGGGTTGCCATGGATACCTCCTCTCTGCTTATTGCATTTGGCCCCCCACTAACCTTTAAGGCACCAGTTCCCAAGCTCATCATTAGCGATGAGTTTAACCTGAATTTAATTTTGACCTGTAACATATACACAATATTAGTAACTTAAAAGGATTTTACTGCATTATAAGAGACAACTTACTTTCCAGCCTTGCGCACTTTGTTAGCAAATACTTGTGATCCTAAAGAGTAAACAATCAATAAAATTAATATGCTTTTAACCTAAGACAAGAACAGGTGAATGAATACAATGAATACAATGCAGTTACTACAAGAAAGATGTCAGTCTATACTCTAAGGAGCTAATAACTAAAGCAAGCAATGAGACATTTTGTATGTACCGGTAAGCCTAATCCAGACAAGACAACAAAAATTTCAACCCTAACACTGCGCCCATATAACTCATTGGAACTACCTTAATAAATTGTTATTGTTGTTAAAAATTTCAATAATACCATTCCAACTGTAGAGTATTAGATTACAAGTTAACTAGTACAACTGACCACTTTCAAGAACAACACTCCCATTTCTGCATGCTACATGTGTATCATTGATCAGACTGCTTGAGTGTAGTAAAGTATACTGGCATGCACAACTCTCGATGCAACAGTACTAAATGAATAACTAACTACAGTGGAACCTCGATAACTCGAACTCAGATAACTCGAAATCCCACTAACTCAAACTAAATTTCTTTTCCTTTGATCAAATTTCAGTGAAATTTACCGCGATAACTCAAATTCCCTGCTAACTAGAACTGTTTTTCATTTCCCTTCAGAGTTTGAGTTAACGTTGTTCTACTGTATTACAAAATTAAATCTAATCATTGTAAACTAACCCAGTGAGCTGACATCTTTCTTGACACCTGTGCTTTTAAACAGCTTTTTGTCTTTCACAACAGGAGAACTTCTCCCTGATCCAGGACCTCTCTCACTTGCACTGCTGCCAACACTTGCAGTATCTGACAAAAAAAATTCCAACAATGTTGTTATTGTGAGAAAGAGCTAATACCCAGGGTGCAAAGAAAGTCATTTTTATAGCTTGCCATTCGGGCGAGCTGAAGCTAATATTTACTAGCCCAAATATCATTTCAGCTAACCCCAAAAACGTTTTAATGAGCAGATTGATTTCACAGTTCTTCTGTAATTTGAATTCCTCAAAAAAATTCACTTGCCCATCGGGCAAGTTAATAAGAGAATTCACTAGCCCAATAGCAAAAATCCACTAGCCCCAGGCTATCAGACACTTCTTTCTTTGCACACTGTAATACCTCTCCATTTATTACATTATCAATACAACGATTGACAATAGTGGTCAGTGGTCAGGCAATATTGTATCTGACCTAATAGTTATAAATTAATCACCTAAGTATATATGGCTGCACTTTTTCTGTAGCCCTTATGTATGATTACTTGGGGAAGCCTGTACTCCTCTCTCTTTTACTGCAAATAAATTTTTGTTTATCAGCATAATTGTAATATCTCGCCCGAAGTTATGTCACCCAAAACCAGAGTTACCTGTGTGTTGGCCAAAATTTTAGTTAAGTCGCCCAAAATGGTAATGTGGCCCCAAATTTTAATCATAAAGAGAGCATATAATATACAAAGTTCTGTAAGCGAAAATGAGATGAAACAAGCAGGATAAAGGAGCAACATACAATACCCCGCAAAAGTAAGTTGACAGTCACTCGCATCTTGATTCTCAAGACTACGTTCTTGAATCTCAAAACTTTCAAGAATCAAGTCTCGAGGCTTGAGAATCGATTCTCAAGTTTCGCGAATCAAGAGTCAAGTCGAGAAATATAATGAGCTTGTCACTTGACTGATCTCACAAGAAACAAATTCATCAAACAGACCGTACTCTGGTATGGAGGATCACAAAGTACCAGCTGCGGACTGCAACAAATGGCTTTTGCAAGCCCCACTTTCTTTTTTGATGAAACAAAATTTGTGCTTTCGAAACATATCCACCCATTTAACAGGTAAGTTTGAACAGCAAACAAAATTCCCACCTCATTCTGTGCTTTTTTTTTTAAAAAAAATTTTAGCCATCAGCCCCCAGCTAAAAATTACCATTGATAAAAAGTAAACAAACAAGCACAAATGTCTTGTAATTCTTCTGCTGCAGTGCAGTACAAGTTTCTCCTCTAAAAATGACCTTGAACCTTCACTAATCCTGACTTTTGCCTTTACAAATGTTTGGTCCCTGTTGTATGTATTTTTAAAAATGTTGCAAATTGCGTGTCAAGTTTAAGCAAGAAATTACAAAACCTAAATCATAAATTTCATAGTGATATTTACTGCTACAGCTTTAAAGTGATATGTGACTTCCAACACCCATAATCCCCACAGAAAGTCATTAGACTAGGAAATTTGGAACATCTCAGGACTTTTTACCCATTTCTCACTACTTTTTCCAGCTCAAACTTCAGAATCTCACATTTTTTGCCTTTTGGAGGTTGGCAAGTCTGTAAAGTTGTTATTGTTGTATCAGTCTTGCTTGGTGAAGATAATGGTAAGATTTCCATATAACCCCATACAGGTTACATGACTGTATTCATGTTCCAAAACTATTTGTGAAATTGTTGCATGCATAATATATGTATAGGGTTATACAGAAATCTTGCCAAGATAATTAACAGTATTTTTAAGAGGTTTTTATAAGTATACAATAAAAATACGCTAACTAAATTCGTACCATCATCGTCCAAGTCCTTATCTTTTCCTTTCTGAACAATCCCACCACTCACAAAATTCAGTGGCTTGGTGTAATCTTTCCTTCTTTTCTTCGAGTATCCACGAGGTCCTTCGTCATCATCTGAGTCTCTCTCAGCCCACATTCCATAAATCGCTTCTTCTCTTGTCATTCTATGTCTTCTAAATCCCAAACCGAAACCCTCCATTAGGTCGCGGTCGGTGATCTCGAAATCTTCGACCTCCACGTCGTCATCCATTTTCAAACTTTAATCGATAAAACTGCTCTGTTGTTAAACAGCTAGAATTACTCATTAGTGATGAAGGGAGGTTCGAAATTCTATAACAAAGGTAAAACTGGTTTTAACAATTCCAGACGATCAAAAAGACGAAAGACGTGAATTGACAACACAAGGTTCGTCCGCCATATCTTGTGCGCAAAGAAAGCCTACGCTTAGCGTCTTTTGTAAGTCCGCTGTACTTTAATACAAAAGAATTGATTTGTGTCACAAAATTTCCTCTAATCCTAGTATCCATTACAAGGCCTTATACTACTACATGAGAAACTTCTGCAATCTGATTGGCTTAGAGCAGTGGTATTTCACCTTAATTTGAAATACCTACAATGCCATGTGAAAATTACAAACCTTTTGCGGGTAGTAGTATAAACAAATAATAGCATGATTTGTACGTGATATTTGGCATAAATACCACTCGTGATATTTCAAAATTGTCTCAAATTTCACTCGCCTAACGGCTCGTGAAATTACGTATAACAATTTCGAAATATCACTCGTGGTATTTATGCCAAATATCACTACAAATCATGCTATTACCTATACNAATACCTACAATGCCATGTGAAAATTACAAACCTTTTGCGGGTAGTAGTATAAACAAATAATAGCATGATTTGTACGTGATATTTGGCATAAATACCACTCGTGATATTTCAAAATTGTCTCAAATTTCACTCGCCTAACGGCTCGTGAAATTACGTATAACAATTTCGAAATATCACTCGTGGTATTTATGCCAAATATCACTACAAATCATGCTATTACCTATACAAATTCAACTAAAAGCATAACTTGTCCCAAACAAGCCATTTGTACTTAAAGATACTGTCGTATAAGACATGCATGCCTTCTCTGTCTCTGAGGTAAACAAATGTAGGGTTTCACAATCAGCTGTTTACGTAATTGAGCAATCAGCTCACTTTGACTCTGAAGATGACTACCGCACAGGTTGTCAAAACGTCAGTCACTGTCAAAAACAGTCCTATTCAGGACTACGTTCACCCGAACGATCAGACTCAACCTATTTCTCAGCTGACTGTTCAACTGTTTCCAGTCGTGGAATACCAAATATGCCCGGCTCAAAGTCCTCTGCAAGGGGGACTCTTCCAGGGAAGGGAAAATAAGGTATGCTCTTTTTCTTCCGTTTTCACAAGCTGTGAGCTTCCTGACCTTCCTCTTTTCCCCTTTTCATCTTCTCTGCTCTTTCCTTTTTCTTGCTTCAGATGTTGTGGACTTGGTGCCAATTTGATCATGGTGACGCCTTATATTTAGTCAGCACTCTGTCAAAGTCATACGACAAGATGTAACACCTCCTTTTCAACGCCAGACTTAATATAATGTCGTTTCTCACCCTTCGTCATGAGAAGGGTGAAACTTATGCTCGTTGTCTGGGTAACTCGGTTTATCGACTGTCAGATTTGGGTTTTTGTGACTTTCCTGGTAAAATGGACAAGGCGTTTTTCTTAAGGCCCAAGAAGAATCGTTTAGGGTTTGATAATGTTCCCGTTGAAATGAATACTTTCGATCAGATTTTGTCAAACATGATGTGCTCAGTTGTAGGAATTAAAAAGAAAACCGCCCATTTTCCTAGAGTAACGTGTGTCACAACGCTCTTTAATGCGGGGGTTGACGAAAGGCTCACTCGTGAACCCACGGGTCATCAAATGATCTTGAAATTTTCAATATGAGAAGGCTAACAGAGAACAAGTGGTTAAAGTTTCCTCAATTTTAGGATCAGAAAGTAAGACGTGTACCACTACTTCTGATATTGAAAGTTCACCTGGTGTTACATAGGCAAAGGGGAAGATGCTGATGATGTCCAGGGGCGTAGCTAGGGGGGCGGTCCTGGGGTGCCCGTGACCCCCCCTTGGTAGGCCTTCTTTTGAGCAAACAACCTACAATATTCAGGGGGCGAAAACGCCATAACAATATCTTGGCCGTAAAAGCCATTGTTGAAAAGCCCACTTTTTTAAAATTTGTTTTTTTCTAAAGTATTTTCGTCAACGGCTCTTGTCTTTAGTTAATATGGGCCTTCATGCCCCGATAATACGACTGAGCCTGCTGATACACGAGGGAGAGCAGCGGTATAAACAACCATATAGAGTGTTTTCACTCACGTGACTTGGTTTCCTAGCAACCTTACTATCCGCCATGTTGGTGTCCCAAGAAAGAAAGCGTGAGCTGGTCACTTATTGTATTTACAGCT